CTTCTTTTGGAAGATTTGGTTTCTTTAGAAGATGCCACACAAACACGATGGATGCGGGGCAGAGGGAAGCTCTGCCCCAGGAGGTTCTATGGTGTCTGTCTGCATCCACAGCACTTCCCCACTTGAGCAGTGAACAAAATTCCTCTTGTCATGACAAAGTTTCTGAATGTGTGCTTTGTATACATAGCTGTGTTCTCTCTGAGCCATTTAGCCTCATCAACTACAATGAAGATACTGAATCAGAGCAAGCTGGGAGCGAGCAGACTCCAGCTGGCTCTTGGGCAGATATGCTGGCCAGCTGACAGGAGTAAAACTGCAAGAAATCTGACACAGAAAACACGCGGAGTGAGGAGATAGACAACAGAGGCAGGCAGGTAGGCAGGCATTGCACAGCACCTGCTCACTGCTTTCGGGTACAAGACAGTGCATAACCTGCCCTGGACTGGCTCTCAGTACACCACTTCATGCCAGCTTATCCTATCTCCCATCAAGCACATCCAGTGTTCCTTGCAGGGGGCAGACATATGCAGTCCCATGCTGCCATTTTAGTCTCTTCTGCTCATTTTATATTCTTGCTTCCACTTTCAGAAAGTTTGAGGAGAAACTGGCAGTCACAGAATCACAGGGTTGGAAGGGACCTCAAGGATCATGAATCTCTAACCCCCCTGCCACATGCAGGGCCACCAACCTCCCCATTTAATACCAGACCAGGCTGCCCAGGACCCCATCCAATCTGGCCTTGAACACTTCCAGGGATGGGGCAACCACAACCTCTATGGCAGCCTGTTCCAGAACCTCACCACCCTCTCTGTAAAGAATTTCCCCCACATGCTTTAAAGTCATGGTGCTCTAGCCATGTTCATAGCAAAAATAGAAGGGAGGAAGGCAGCAACATGGGGAGCAGCCAGATGGTAGTAGCCCCAACACAGCCATGAAAGCACCAGCCTTGCAGACCAACTGCTAAAAATTGCAGTGGAGCAATGTGTCAGCTGCCCTTAGCATTTTGTCCTATCTCAGTGCATATCTTGTACTTTCTGGTAGCATTCTGTAATTTTCCCTCTTACAGGGGCTGCAGCACAGCTTGCAACACCCAGCCCTGTTCAAGCAGTCTCAACAAGGAGCATGGAGCTCATACAGGCTCACCTATCCCCTCCTAGCCCACTGGCACAGAGGCAGATGTAGCACAGGTTCAAGGCTGCAGGCTCACTGCATGACATAGGATGTCACCCACACACCAGGATCTGTGACAATGAACCGCCTTGCAAAGAGCCAATGACAAGACCACAGCATGGGGCTTGGAGAAGGACCCATTCCCCAAGCACAGCTCCTCAGGCCGACGAGCTGGAGTGCAGAGATTCTGGTGGTAGACACTCACAAAGTAACTCAATGGATCTGAAGCTGTACTTGCATAATTCCCCTGTTTTCAGGAAGACTTTCTCAGTATGTACCACAGCAGAGCCAGAACTTTTCTTCTTCACATGTCCATGATGTCAGTCCTGACCTACAATGACTTCAGAACAAACACTCTGAAAACTTCAGCTTCCACTGGAGCCTGGTTCCAGCAATGGCCTGGAGTCACTCCTCATCAGAAGCAAGTGAAAGAAAGCTAGCCTTATCCCAAGGCCTGCATTTAACTCAAGGAAGTGTTCCTCGTTGTGCAGATTCAGTGTAAGCTGATCTATAATACCCAAATACATCTTGCAGTGCTATCCCATCATCTGAAGCTTGATAGCACTGCCATGCAATTCTTTACCTTCATACTGGGCCATTATCTCAGCAGAAGGGCATGGAAATCTGATGCACAGCAAAGCAAGACATCATCTGCTGTAATACCTTTATATCATGTGCCAACAGCTTTTACTTGGAGAAAAACTATCCCCACGTCAGCAAACTATTTGCTTTTGGTTTTAATTGTCTATCTGCAAACAAATAATTTGATACAGTCTCCTGGACATGTTTGGTCTTAAATGGACCCTATTGACATCTTGCAAAATATTGACAAAAGAGAGTCCTTTGAACAGCAAAGAATTAGCAAACAGCAACGCTTCCCAGCTGGTTGCTCTGCAAAATCCTTTCCTTTCCTATATGTTCTTTCCAGAGACAGTAATGTCTCCAAAAGGAGTCTTTACTTTGTTCCCCTTTTCCAGCATTGAAAGCTTTCCTGAGTTTTCCTTTACAGCACCAGCACAAGGCTCTGGTAAGCTGGAGCCCCACAGCTCCACTGAAGCTCTCTCTCCAAGCAGCACATACACAGTCCTTTTGACTCGTGGCTCCCAAAAGGGCACTGAAGGATCCATTTTTGAAAGCTTTACCTTGTGTTAACAAAGGAAATTTCACAAAGCTCAGGTAAATAAGTGAAAGAATCTGTTTTCTGGAAACGGAAACTCCGCCACAGAGAAATGCATTCATCTTTTTGAAGGCTGTCTGCCATTACAAGATGTGTGTATAAGGATTTTTGCTTTAAACTGAGTTCAGTATCAAAGGCACATGCTCTACATCAATGTCAGACATTTCTACTTGGTTTTCTACCAGAGTTTTTGATTACAGCATAAGGATTTTTTTTTTCCTTGTGTTTGGAAAATCTGTCTTTAAAGCAGAGATCTAGGAATATAGAGCAAATGTGGCTATTGAGGCTTGTTCACATTTTAATTGCATGGTTGCAGACTTAACAGGAGAGAATTCTTTCCTTCTTGAAATTCAAGACATTGAAAGGTTAATTCAGTCTTCTCAGTTCCATTTCCTTCCGTTCCACTTCCCACCCCCATCTGTAGACAGCTGAGTTATTTGAATTTTATGCAAGCTTGTATTCATCCGAAGGGAAATATCATTCAGTGTAAGCATCAGAGAAGAGAAAATTACACTACTGCACATTTTCATTTCTCAGTTCCAATTTGCTTTTGTCTTTATTCACTGGTTTGGGCAGCAGGCTGACACACTCATGCCCTAACGCGAGCTTCCACTCAAAAGTTAACTTGAATTAAAGCTTGAATGTCCCCATCCCCTTTAAATTCCTGTACTTTAAACCTTTGAGGATCTGCCCTTGAGCTGTGCTGCTCTTCCTTTGAGCTGCAGAAGAGCTGCAGTTCAGGTTAGCACAATCTGCCCACTGCCAACACAATCAGTCTCTGCTGCTCCCGTGTTTTTTCATGGTGTGGTCACTCACATTCAAAGTATAATAACTGCAGAGGTGACAAACTGAGTGTACAGAGCCCAAATTAACCCTGCTATGAAGACTTATCCTTAATAAGACTGCAGATGTTTTCTGTTGGTTTTTTTACTTTTTTTGGTATATACTTGCAAGGAGCAAGCCTTAAAGTAGCCACTGGCAACACTTTAATGTGGTCAAATCCTGAAAAAAATGGTTATTTGCTTTGGACACTGCAGAAGGAAAGTAGCCTAATATTTCTCCTTTACATCTTAGAGAAGAAAAAGAGTGTCTATGTAGCATGCTGCAGCACTCATTTGAGCATGCAACTGATAACAAATGTGGAACTTATTGATTACAACTTTCTTAGGTAATTGTTGGCCTTGAACACAAATTGTACTCTCTCTGTGTATGGCTTACAAACCAGCTCATAAAACTGGAGAATGATTTTTGGAAAAGATGATGTATGAATCCCTTCACGTAGAAATACAACTTTTTGTTCTGGTAATTCCTTGCAGAGATGAGCTAGAGGAGATAGCAGGCTGTCTGCTGCTCTGCTTCGGTAGCTTTCCTTCCTTAGGCACCTTAAAAACGTGAGAGTTGATCTTCTTTTCCACAAAACATAATGCATACTTCAGCTCCGAGGTCCCAATCTATTGGAAGTGAAAGGATTTTGCAGCACTGGTGGTAGGCATCCCTCAGCCTCAGCCACAGCCGTGTGTCCCTGAAGTCGGGGCATTATGCCATCATATCTGCCCCAGCACACAGCGTAACACTGATGGAAATGGCAGACTCACCTGCTGTCTGTTTTTCCTCTGGACAAAAATGAAAATCTAAATGCTGAACTTGTAGATCTCTGGATTTTATTACCTTCTCTCTGATTGCCTGGCTTATCAGTTTGGTAGTCCAGCTGCAGATGAAGTGCCACAGTTCAATCAGAACAGTGCTCCTTTTGTTTAAAGTAAAAAGAGTGAAGAGGTCAACAATGGATTGTTGGATTCAAGAGGCTGCTGAATTCCAGAGCAGTCAGCTGCACTGAGAGAGGTGCTCTGAGCACACTTCCAGTGCTCACCCATGACTTCTTTCTCTGCCCTGCTCTTTCTCTCTGCATATGAGAGATGCTACTGTTCTTAATGTCTAGAGACACAAATAGATATATATTTAAAAAAAGAAGTAAATAGTGTAAATCATGCTGACCTAGCATTTCTAGAGCAGTATTCATCACCATTTGCCCTATAGCATACTGTTGTGACTAATGTGTCACATGCTTCTTTCCCCACCCTTTCTCTGGGAGAGAATCGCATGCATGGACATTTTGTATTAATCTTTTCCCTTTAATAACGCACACATATGTCACCACATTTTGCTAGAGAAGGCAATACCAAAGCCAATTATGTAGTGCTGGAAGACACAGTTTTGGGTCAGCTTTTCAGAAAGCTATGTTGCACAAATCTCCATCTGGCCAAACCTTTAAAAATTCACCCCCATAGTAAATTTTGGAAGTCAAAAAGAGAGGGAGAGAGGAAATTTCCACTCCTGCTAGCTTATGTTTTCTCTCCGTTTTTTTCCTGCTGCAATAAGACTCCTAGCATAGACTAACTCCAGAGCTATTTGGAAAACATGGGGTTGGAAAATATAGCCAGAGCAGAAGGACTGTCCACATCTAGCCTGTCTTCTCCTCCCATCTGCAGCCACCCTTAAGACCCAACATTCTACAGGAGGAAAACTGAACACCTTAGGTAACAATCAAACACACTGGAGGACAAGAACCAATTGTTTACACACCAGCAATGCAGGATTAGAAGAGACATTCTGCCAAAGAGACATCACTGCCTTCCCTACACCCCCAGGATTCATTGTCTCTTAGCCTGGGAACCTGTCTGCGTTCCCAAACACGGTTATTTTTTTTGGCAGCAAGATAGAGCAAACAGCACAAAGGGAACTGAGAAAATCCTTCCAGTGAAGCTGTAGTCTCCTTTCTGTTCCCCTAAGGACAGAACCCTCTAAGTGTAGCTTACAGCACACGCTGTCCTGCCACCTTGCTGGAAGGTGTTTGATTCCAAAAGGAATTGGGGTGCTCGCAGAACCCAGCCCAGCAATTTCGGCCTCAAAAAAATCAATCTCCTACCTTTACCACCAAAAATACCACAACGTTTTGCAAATGAAATCACTGTTCAATTTGAGTGGGTGTGTTATTTCGAGACAGTTGTGTCAGCTTATTGGCTCAGCTACAGACTCCAATCTGCACAACGTCTGTTCCCCGACGCGTTCGGATGCTTTGTCCCTCTTGGTCCCACATACAAATAGATGCAATCTGATTCTCAGTGTTGCACCCAAGAGAAAGAAGCCCCTTCTTCCTGCAGCTTCCCACCTCATCACCGTGCAGCTCGGCATCTCGCCAACACCTCTTGAGCCAGAGATGAGCACTGCATCCCCAAACTGTGGACAGTGCAGACACAGAGACGACTGAGCCAGGCTGCACCACTTAGCAGAACTTTGATCATAATGAGCACGGCCACATTGCTGCCCGCAGCCCTTTGGGAGCAGCCACAGCACAGACAGGTTTGCATGGTGCTGAGCTCAGCGGGACCCAGACCATCCCTGTGGAGTTCAAGCTGAGCCGTGCTGTGCAGATGTTCTCACGTGAAGGTGCTCTGCTCTCCTTCACCTCGTTCCTTATTTTAAGTACACGTTGGAGGAGGAGGTCCTTCAGTCGTGTTCACAGTGCACACAGATCAGATCCCAAAGCGCTCTACTTAAGCCTTCGGAAAAGTCCCACATCACCTTCCAGGATCTCTCCATCAACTACATTTGTCTGCCCAAAGATCTCACAGCTGCCCAGCGGCTCTTGGAGCTCATCTCAGCTCCCTTAGTTTGCTGGAACTCCAGCAAACTATTCATGCTATCCCAGGTTGGACACCTGGGAAAGGCAGTCCGGGTACATGGCTAAGGATGGCCACCTTGTTCAGTTTCCCACAAAGTGTCCCAGCAAAACACAGCCAAGGGCTCCAAGCCATTACAAAGGGTTTTTAAAATCACATCACTCAGCACCCAGAGCATGATTTCCTTCTGTCAGCAGGACGTGCAAACACAGCTTCTCACAAAGCCCAGCAGGAAGGTGGCTGCTTCCCAGGGACTGCCTTGCAGTGGGAGGCACCTCCATGAGGATTTGTAGCTGCCAAACCTGAGAACAAAGGAGAGATTCTTTGTTCCTCCTTCCAGGACACATGCCTGGCCACTAGCTGATGGATGAGCCTCGGGTGGCAGCCGTGCCACCATCACTGTGCACAGAGCCATCTCCAGGGGTAGGGTATCCCCCTGAACTCATCACCCACAACCTAGCACCAGCCCTTAGGTGAACTCCAAACCTCGGCATTACAGGAGAAGGGCAGGAAACTCAAACACCATCATCTTGGAAAAGGAAGAGAGAAAAAAATCAAGATGTATTTTGGCTGTTTTCTGTGTTGGTTTCTCCATTTCCCCCTCTCGTGCATTTTCTGCAGAGGCAATCTGTCCTTTCCCTAAATGCTGAGCAATCCCAGCACAGAACTAATCAATATTAATGGCGATGGGACCGGGGGTGGGAGGAGAGGAGGGATTAACGTGACCTTTTTAAACACGCGCTGCCTCAGACGGTCACCGAGCAGCTGAGGAGAAAGCAGCCAGACGGTAATGCCATGTGCTTTCAGTAGCTTTGCTTTGGCTTTTTTTGATGGTTTGTTGTTTTTTTGGGTTTTTTTTTTTTTGTTTTTTTCCCTATGAATATTTACTTCTGTTGTCTCAGAGCAGATAGGAATAGAATCAGGTTGTCTTAAGGAAGGAAAAGGTATCCGCCTGCCAGCACCCGCAGGCCGATCATCCTTGCTAGAACCTGTGCTGAGCTCAGCAGAACAATGCATGGGATGGATTTTAGCTTGAATTCCTATTAAAAATGGGAACTGGATGAGGGATGGTTTGCCAGTGCAGCATTTAATGCTGGTGTGCTTTGTGACTATCTGCTATGTGGGGTCCAATCGAACGCACCGACTCAAATATTGAGTGCGAGAGCAAACAAAGGACCCTGCGAAGCAGCCCTCCTATTGTCGGGCACAAATGCACACAGCAGCTAATCCCCCCTGCTGCGGGACCGACTTAGGGCAGTGTACTGAGAATTATAGAAAAAGCCTATTAATGAAAACAAAACCATTATTGAAACTATTTGTGCATGTCGGATTCGTGGCTTACTGCAGAATTTCTGGGTATCAGCATTCCTCAAAGCAGCAGTTCAGGTCAGGAGGTGCTGTGGGTTATTCTCTGAATGCATTGTCTGTATTTAGTTTTGTTTCCGTGTTCCAAATGTGACTTTTAGAAACTGATGCTGAGAAATCTATATTAAATTCTACTCATGTCTTTCCTCTTCTGCTCTGAGAGCACCAAGCTTTGGGGAGCGACCCCAGATTGAGGCGTGAGATCTGTGTTTGGTTTTGAATGAACATTTTTACCGCATTTCTTCACTTTTGCAGCAGGCTTTGCCTTGCAGATGGCACAGCACGAGCTAACAGAGCCGGGTGTGCTTTCCCTTTCTTTGTCAGGACCCACCATGTCTGACAAACCAGATTTCGCAGAAATTGAAACGTTTGATAAGACCAAGCTGAAGAAGACAGAAACAAGAGAGAAAAATCCATTGCCCACCAAAGAAAGTAAGTGCTTGTGAGGCTCTTTGAACCGAGAGCAGCAGAAACATCAGCCCGTATTGCAGCTAACGTGCAGAATGAATAGCGATCAAACTCATCCCTGATTTAAAGGGGGACAATACTAAGAGTTGTGCTAAATGTTGACTTTCCAAAGGTAGGAGCAGCTAAACCCAATTGTGCTTTTTGTGTGGAAGTAATCTGATGGTAACATACCCTGCTAAAAGCAAAGATAATGGGATAATGGGACATACCTGCACAGATGCTCAGAAGGGAAGGCAGTGTCCCAGGAGGGGCCTGGCCCTGGTTTGGCACATCAGAGCTGTGGGAATAAAGCAGCAGCAGAAGCCCATCACCGCCTGTCTCAAACAGGAAACCTCCCTGAGCACAGGGTTGCAGTTCCAGGCTTTTGCCTTCCCCAATGCCTGTGCTGTATCAGATGCTGTCTGCATTTCCCATTCAGCTTTGGTGTGAAAATGGCACTTCCCTGCTCTTGGACCAGGCTTTGGGAGCAGGCTCTCTCAGAAGAGCACCACTAGCCACAAAGGGCGCCATTAAATTAATATTTTATCAGATGGTTTCTACTTGGGGTCTGTCAGTGCTGGCAGCCATGGGGACACACTGCTCCCCCAACAGGAAACCCATTCTGCCCTGGTTTGTTGTCCCTGCTGATGTTCTGTCTGTCCTACAAGAGGAAGATGCAACATCACAAAGTGGACCTCAGTAGCAAGGCAGACAAAGGAATACATCAGAATTTTGGGGCGGTCAAATCCAGTGGGGATTTGCCACCACTCAGCACAGAGACCTGTTTTGCCCCCAACCCTTGCAGTGCTGATTGACAATGGTTTTGTTCTCTGCATTTTTCTGGCAGCTATCGAACAAGAAAAGCAAAGTGAGAACGCACCCTGAGCGTCAGAGAGATGATGTGACTGCTGCTTCTTCGGTGGGGTTTGGGCTTCTGCGCTGGGTTTTGTTCTGTTTTGTTTCCCCTCCCTTCCACTTTCCCCTCAGTGCTCATTATCCATTTCATTTATTTCATTTAGCAAACACTCCTTTCATGTTCCCAGGAAGAAGTTTGTTTTGTATGTGTTGCTCTGTATTCTTAAAATGGGAATTCAAAGTTCTGTACCACACCCATCACTTGAAAAAAAACAAAAAAACAAAAAAAAACAACCAACTGCATAAAAATGTTTTCCTAAACCTCACAATGAAGAAGTTTCTTCCATCCAGCTGTGTTTGAGACTTTACAAGTAGGAGTTGCTGTGTAAATCCAACAACAAAGGTAGCTGTGACTGTGGGCAGCAGCTCTGCTCCGCCTGCACAGGGGATGTGCTGATGGCATCTGCCTTCATCTGACCACACCAAATGCAAGAGGGCATTTCAGGGGAGCTCCAGGGAGCAAACCTTACATTCTAACAGGTCTTACCTTTGGACAAGGGTGTGAATAAGATGGGAAGGCATTAGCTTGTTTCAGTCCTATCAAACAGCAGGTTGGAGGTCTCCAAGACAAGCTGATGGCTGGGTTGAGGAAGGACTCCTATCAGGAGCTCAGGTGGGAATGGCTGCAGCTCTCTCACTGGTGTTCTGCCCTTGTTAGCCTATCAAGATCCAATCAGCCTTGGTACAGCCCTTTGCCCACCTGATACCAAGCAACATGGGAATGCTGGAAGGTCTCTGGGCAATAAAGAAAAGAAATTCATTGTAAAATTATTACTGCATTGATTTTCTGGGATGTGAGACACCTTTGGCAGCAAACAGGCATGCAACAAACCCTCAGAGCAGACAAGGTATCCTTGAGTCTTCAATACTAATGCTGCAGAAACACCCCCTCTGGGCTGGGTAGAGCTCAACAGAAGTCTGCTCTGGTCTCACTCTGTTCTCAGTTATGTGCTATCGTGTTAGCTCTGGAATTAGCTGCAGTTATGTGTTATCGTGTTAGCTCTGGAATTAGTTGCAGTGATATCAGGGGGACACATGATTAATTTGGGCAGATACACTGCTGCCACCAGGGCTGCAGCCTGGTCTTACCTGCACAAGGAAAGGGGATAACTGAGTGCGTATCCACTCCGCAGGGACACTGCGCGTATGGCTGAGGGAAGTGCAGCTGGCCTATAGGCTCCAGGGAACAGGAAAGGATGGTTGACATGGAAGGCTCTCACTACCCAGGAGTTGTTTGACAGCTGACACTAAAAGTGAATCACAAGATTTGTAAATAAATTAAAAGAGCATAGCCACAAAATGGGCAACATTCCCTAGCAACAAAAGGTAAATGGTGACCAAGAGACCAAGGGGAACGCATTATGTGCAGGGCTGGTAACTTCAGAGCTTCATTCACCTCCGTGTTACGCAAGGGGGAGGGTGGTATGCTTCCACCCAGGGGCTGGGAGCTTGGCCTTGGCCAAATATCTGTTGTGATGGCAGCCTGGTGGTGGAGACAGCATTTAGAACTGGTACGGAGAGAACAGCCCCTGCTGGCAGCCCGCACTGCTAAGAGCATTCAGACAGATTAACCACTGCTTTTCTGCGCAACAGTTTTGGCAACCAGCACGCACCACAACCACACTCAGCATGTGAGCCTGAAGACTAAACTTGCTTCATTTTCTTGTGCCAGAAGACAGCATTCTGCTCCACATGACAATCTCCCTTGTTCCCTGCCAGCTCGGAGCATCTGCCAACTTGCTCAGCACAATACGTGATAAATCACCCAAAACTCTGCGTGCAGTGGAGCCGATGGGAAGCACCCACACCCCCCAGATCCCAAAGTCTGTGCTGTGCTCTCAGGCAGCAGGAAGGGAAACGAGGTCTGGCCAAAGCAAGAAAACAATAGAGATATTCTTCTCTTTGCTTGCCCAGAAGCCAAGGATTAGCAGTGCTGCTCTGAGGACAGAGGCAAAAGGCCAAAGCAGCCCACAGCACCAGAGGCACCAGGTTTGTCCCAGCTGTTGCTGCCCCAGGCTCACACTGCTCCCATGAGACCTCCTCCCAGCTGAGCTACTTGTCCTTAGCGCCCTGTACACTACACTCAAAGTCTTAGCACTTTTATTTGTGTGACTTACCCATCCAGGAAGGCTTTGGAGCCAAGGACAGCATCAGCCCAGTTCCCCAGCCCTGGGCTGCAAAGCTTTCCAAGTTACAGCAGAGCTCATAGCAGCTGCACACCACAAAAGGCTCTGCAAGGATCGAGGCCACAGCTCACCCAGCGCAGATACTGCAGGCTGGCATATTTGGAGGCTGCTTCTTCCACCATCAGCAGCTCAGAGAGACTTGAAGTTGAAGGCACGCAGTCACAGGACCCCAAGTTGAGAAGTGTCCTCCCCTGTTGCAGTGTGAAGTCACTGCACCAGGAGACTAAGATTCAAAAAGAGGAGGGCCAGGTCTGGCTCTCTGTTATCACAGTCAAACAGTATTACAGCCTTTATCTGCAGGGCAGGCTGAGGGCGCAGACCAGGAAGTTGCTGATTACCTGCAGCCAAGACCAAGGCAGAGTGAATGCTGATCATTCCAGCCACTCTGCTGGGGAAGTGTTTCCTGCCAACCACACTGAGCACCTCAGGTGCCCCTAGGAAACATCTTAAACTGCTCTGAACCCCCATCTATAGCTAGGCTCACTGATAGCATCCACTCTTAGTACCCAGACCTTCTCCAGCTTTCTGCAGGCAGGGCTGACCTGAGCCACCTCTTCCACAAATCTTGCCCACCTCCAGGTGGGGTTGGGGCTAATTAGCTGAAGAGCAACAGGCCTTTGCTGTTTGGATGCTTTACATAATGAGACAGTACCTTAGGGATCTTCCAAAGGAAAAAACAGCTTTGGTGCTAATCCCATCACAGAAAAAAAAAGAATCATATACAGACAAACACCAGCATTCTTGGCATTGCCATAGAGCCAGCCTTGTCCCCTTGTGAGTCACTGCTAGTTGATTTGCACAGCCACAGTGAGCCCTGGCTGAGCAGAGGAGATCTGCATTCCTCTTGTTATTATACAGAAGATACTTGATCAAACAAGGCTCGTTAGGCAGGTGTTTGATAACAGGGAAAGGCAGGGAGGACAAACCCTGAACTTGTTGAGTTCCAGTTTAAGCTCACCTACAAACCATAGGGGAATCCTGATGACTCCAGTTCCAAAATACACTTTTTTTTCCCCAAAAATTATTTTTTAACGTGGTGGCTGAGGTGTCTGACAGCATAATGCTCGCACCAGGCTCGAGGAGCTGGAGCTTTGGGAAAATATTCCGTTGTGCTTCTGCTAAATCTATGGGCTCGTGACCTGACAGAGACCTCTCCTGCTACTTGAGGAAGAGGGGAGAGGAAAGCAGGGAATGTGTAAGGGAGTGAGCCCAGTGACACAGTGTCAGCAGGATCTGAACTGCAGCTGCATGGGAAGAAAGATGGAAGGGAGCTGAAAGCACAGCTGAGGAGGTGCCCAGTGTGGCCAAAACCCAAGTCAGAAGCAGCACAGGCAGCTCTCCTGCCCCTGTCCAGCTCACTCATTGTCTTCCCAAAACCATGGGATGAAAACAATGGCCCCTAAAAAGCACTGACCTAGCAGTGCCAACCTGGACCTCCTCTGCAGCAGGGAGGGAGCAGAGCTGCTGCCTTCCCCTCAGCCAGGCACAGGCAGCCACAGTCCCACAGTGTGCTGCACGTCCTGCACCCAGCACTGAGTATGGAGGAGCAGGCGTTCTTGTGCAGCTGTGTTATCCTGATCCAACGCCATGCCTCTCAAGCTGGCAGCGGGCTGAGCTTTGCCTCCCACTGCAGCTCTGCGCCAGGCCAGGCATCTCCACACACCTCTGTCATTTCAGGACAGACCATTCAGGAAGGAGCAGTTGCTGGGGATGGTTTGTGCACATCTTGCATATCGTGCTGACAACAACTCTTGAAAGCTCCTATGATAAACTGCAAATGTTCTGATGCTGCATGTTTTCTGCAAGGCCCTCCACAATTCATTCAGTTGATGGAGAAGTGTGTGTGGATGGGGTCCAGCAGCAGGCACCAAACAGAATGAAAGAGGATTTCAGAGCAAACCAACCATCTCAGGCATCTGAAGCCAACTGCACCAATTCAGAGGCTGATGCTGTGAAAATATTTGCATTTGGCAAAGTTGCAGCAAGCAGGGCGGGAGTGAGGGATGTGTGACTTCAAGTGGGTGTTTTCAAACAGCATTTTGTTTGGGGAAAATAATCCCTCTTGGTCTGCTTTGTTTTCTCATGGTGCTGGAAACAATTCTCCTCAGTGGAAAGAATTGGGTTTTTCTGTTGCTGTGTCCCTGACTGGGAGCCAGCAAAGGTTGTGTGGCCAACACCCCTGCCTTGCTAGCACTGGAGAGGTCACCTCCAAGAGTTAAAGAAACACAAGATGGGCCCCGTATCATGTATTTGGTTTAGCAATAAGAAAACAAGTACACATGAACCCCCCCTGGGTGCCCTGGAGCAGCAGCATTGCTCTGGGGAGTCGAGTGCAGGGAGAAGGATCCACCACAGCTCCGACTGCTGCCTCAGCTCTGCCACAGCACAGCCTGCACTGCGCTCCTCCTGCTTTCCCTGTGCCCTGTGCAGCCTACTATCGCAGCACCAGCCTGGCAACCCGAGCCCTCACCTCCCACCTGCACAGCCCTCAGCAGGCAGAGGTGCATGGTGAGGACAGGCACTGTGGGATGGAGGCGTGGAGCAGCTTTGGTAGCAGCTGCAATTCTTCCATGTGTGCACATGTGCCCAGGAAAGCTTTGGCGGCATCAGTCCAGGGGGAGATGGTAGGGTCCAGTGCAGGGAAAGCCGCAGTCGCCATTTTATGTCAGTGGTGCACAAGCAGGAAGGAAACAGAAGAGCTTAACCTAAAATAGCCCTCGGTGTGCAGAATGAGCCGAAAAATCTGAACCCCAGAGCCACGCTGGGACAGCAGGGCAGCTGTTTGTAACACGGGGTGAGCACACAGAGCGGCAACACCCGTCTACGACTTCGGTCTCTGCTGCAGAGCGTGCCCCGGGGCCGACCTGTGGGAAAGGCCGCTCGCTGAGCTCCGAGTTCAGCGCCCGGTGCCGCCCGCCCTGCAGGCTGCACACAGCGGGCCGCCCCCAGGGGGAGCCCCGGCACCGCCCGGACGGATCCGGGCCCGGCGCTCCGTGCGCTCGGAGGGCGGTCCTGGGACACCTCAGCCCGCAGAGGGCCCTAACGGTGTCTGAGGGGATGATGAGGAGCCTTTGTGCAGCTTCGAACCTGTAAAGGCTTAAGGCTGCTTTTGTAAGGCCAGAGAGCCTGCCCAGAGTCGTTGCCTCAGGTGACACTGGGAACATCTCTTCCCACCTCATCTAGTAATAAACACACGGCACCTGCAGGCTGATTGAAGCCTCTAATGAACATGCTGTCAGTGCTTCTGGGAATGCAGGACCAGAAACAAAGCTCTCTTCTCGCTGGGCTGTTCCCAGCAAGACTCAGAACTCTTAATGTTTCTTTCCACCCCAATTTCCCCGGAAAGACATTGCAGTTTTGTGTGCTCCTCTGCCCATGAAAATATTCACGGCTCAAATCATCACTTCCATGATACTGAAATCTGCCCCCATTTGCTGCCAGAGCCACCACCTGCTGCCCTGCACAGCCGCGCACCTCCAGCTCCACAGCATGGGTATGTGGGCTCAGGGTTTCCCCAGGACACAAAGTGGGTCAGGGCAGGAGGGGAGGCAGAGCCACAGCCACTAAGGGACATGTAGAGACTGGTGATGTGGAGAGCTGTGGAGCACCACACAAGCAGCGTTATTCATCAGTTAATTTAGCTCAAGTTTGAATGGGAATGATGAAGAAGGAGGCGATAATTTTCCTTCATATCAGGGGCCTGATCTCTTCCTGGACAGGAGTTTATCTGCTGAGGTGCTGCATTTGCGGAATGGGAGATACCCACATACCCATGGAGTAACCTATGTGCTGCACTAACACTGCTTTGCATGACACTTCCTCTAACGAGGGAGAGGAAAACAAAACTTCTGGCACTGCTTTATCGTGCTGATGTGTAAACAGCCCCGTGGGCTTTGAAGGACACACCTGGAGGAGCAGATGAGGTGAGGCCCATCAGGTCACAGCACTGAGGCATGGCAAACTAAAGGCTGGAAACGTGTGTCTTATCCTGCTCTGCTCTTCATAGCAGCTCAAGCAGAAGGACTAAGCTAGTTGCCCAAAAGTATCTTTATCTCCTCTTAGGATGCTGCAGAGAAAGAAGCACAGAGTAGCCATGGGGATTTACCCATCCAGCTCTTGGGAGGATGGGCAGACAGACCTCAACAGCCCTTCCCAGGGGGAGATGCTGAGTGAGGAGCAGCTTTGGTCTGCTATAGGGAGATCTGAGGCCACAAGAATGGGATTTCTGTGCACACACACAGGGTGGCACAGCAGGGCTCTTACCAGACTGCAGTCTGCCTATAGCCCCCATGCTGAGTGGGGAACAGCTGCCTTGGGGATCTAGAAATGGGTGAGGTCATGGAAACAGAGTGGAGAAATCAATGGGGAGAGAAGGTAGCGGGGAAGGACAGATTTAAAACATGTGATGCAAAACTGGTGAGAAGGACGGGGAAGAAATGCCCTTTATCTGCTTGCAAGTGAAATAGCCTTGCTCTTGCCAGAAGCAACATCCCAGCTTGCTCCTGAGCTGAAGTCTCCATTTTGAAGCCCAAACTGTGCAACCTCACACCTCCTGTGGTCCTTTAAAGATCTGATGGTCCTGTAGTATATTCCAGGAGGCATCTCCTTCAATAGCAGAGCCTCTTACATTGGAGTTGCTCATTCTGGGCTTCCCTGATGAAGTTCACTGCTTGCCCCACCACACAGTGCATGAGGCTATGTTGGGAATCAGGATTAGAAACAAAAAAACTGGTTGCATTGTTACAACTGAGAGAGACGAGCTGCTGCATGGAGGCAGGAGACAGGAGCTTCTCATTTGGTCACAACAAAGTGTACCCTCCAACTGCACTGCTGGGCTTTTAAGCCTTCGTTCAGTGAACATGAGCCCACTTCTAATTATGTACCAACATAGGGATCAAGAGGACTGAGCCTGCAGGGTAGGTGTGGCACAGAATCTAATTTCAGTTTCACCCAATCTTCAATTAACATTCCTTAACCAAAACATGTTCGTTATTCAGGCAAAATTCCCCCCAGCACCGGCAGGACGAGGGCTTGGGTCCTGCAGGCTGCTCCTGCAGCTGGGAACTGCAGCAGACAAAGCAGACACGAACCTATTTTGCCCACTATGGGAAACCTGGTGTCGGGAAGACTGAAAAACAAGAGCTGAGCATTCAGGGCACTTATTTAGTGCTCATGATGGATCATTCTGGAGCAAAACAAAACACTCCCGTGGCAGAGAGACTGTGCAATCCAAGGGTATGGCATCACCTTGGGGGCTTGGGTGGCTTCCTGGGGAGAGCACAATAAAATGCAGCAGCTTCCGGCGCTGCTGACAAGGGGGTGTCTCTCTAATTACCCAGGTGGATTTTATTGTAATGGAGCCAGCAATGCAGGATTTGACGCGAGGGGTCTGAATGTATCACCTGCCTAGGGCAATTTAGTGAGCTGTCTGTGCTTTATCTGTTGTTCTCCATGCCAGCAGTGCTCGCTCCCCTTGCTGCTCCCTGCACTCGTGACCCCCACACGGCCCATCCATCTCTCTTTGCATGGGCTTCTACATGCAGCATTTGTATGATCTGATTTGCCTCGTGTCTGCCTTCCTTTAAATGCCATATTCTGATGTGAGTAGGATTTCATGAGTACACAGGGTTGCAAAAACACAATTAAAGTCTCGTGGGGCAAAATATTTCAGGACTCCCATCATCTCACAAAAAGCACTGCCTGTTGGGTCACGTAGCAAGAAAATAAGAAACAAAGCATCACTAGTTGGTCAGTAAAGCCAAGGGGCTCTGGCCAACATCCAGGGCACCGATTCCCAACCAGCATTCCCTGCTCAGCTGTTTGCAGCAGTACCGAGCCTCTGCTTGTCCCACCAACCCCACGGCTTGGGGCTTCGAGGACCGCTGGCCATTCGTTTTCTGCACTACCAGGTAAACAAAGGAGAAATTTTGCTTTCAGATTTTTCTTTCCCTACTAGTTTCTAAGGAATGGGAATGCCAAAGGAAAACTCCTCCAGCATTCTGCAGCTGAGCTGTATGGCTCGGTGAGCACAGGCTTTTCCCATGGTGATGGATGAGCCAGCACTACCCCACAACCTGGGGAGCAGAACACTGAAATCAGCTTTGGAATAACTACAGCCAATGCAGCTCTGCCATTTACTTTGACATTTTATGCACATCAGCCTCTGTACCTCAGTTTACCCAATCAAAAAGCAGAGACTGCTACATTTAATCTCTCTTCCTGCAAGAGCACTGAGCAAAGCACTTTATAAGTGCAAAATTTATCAACACAGTAGGAGCAAAGTCTGCTTAACCATAATGTCTGGGTGGTGGGGAAAGTCCTCCAGCAAAACCAGCATCCCAGCCCATGGGTCTGAACAGGCCAACAAATCCCCAGAGCAGGAAGGCTCATCTGTGCACAGCTCTCCATTTGCTGACAGCTAGCAAAAGTGACAACATTACAAGTGACTTTTAAGATCCCGTGGCTTTAATAGGGAAAGATGTATTTTAACAGCCCAGGCAAATAACTGTGCAATGCTGCCAACTGCAATGAGTGCTTGCAGCCACGCTTCACGCCCAGAGAAGCTGTTATTTTTCTGGCATTAGATTGGAGGATCATGTGTGAGCTGACATAACAGACATGCCAAAATTGTTCAGCTGTGCAGGCTCTCCCAGACAAAATACCCAAAAAAAAACCAACCAACCAAAAAACCGCCAATATGCCCCCAGGGACAGACAGACGCAAAGCCCGAAATGACATGTGTGCATCTAGAAAATGCACAGCAGATTTCCAAGTCATATGCACAGGCTTCAATCAACGAACCTCGCTGATACATGGGAAACACTTCATTCCCAGTAATTGTCCTTTGACAGCTCTAACAAGTAGGATCTGCTCGGGATGGTAATGATTACAGTGCTGACTCACAGAGGGTTTTGCCGTGCTGGCAGCAGCGCACCAGCATGGTGCTCACTTGGAAGGCATTTTGCATTTTGAACCAATCTGCATTTTTAATCCTCTGACTGCCAACGGTTGTTGGTGGCTTTGCGGTGCTGACTCCCGTTTCCCTCCAGCAGGGGCTGGATGGGGATGTTCCTCTCACTTATTGCCCAGCAAGGGGAGTGAGGTGGGGGTGTTCCTGGACTCCCCATGATCGGGAGCTCCATGTGGGCTCTCACCGTGCTCACACACACACCATGGGCAGATCAGTGGGCACATTTGAGGCACAGTCTGCTCCTGCCCCTGATACAGCCCAAGCCTCCGCTTTGCAGCCCCTCAGCACATCACATCACCTTGCAGCAACAGCAGGAGCCCAAATGTCAGCACCCTGATGGGGAAATGAGAGCAGCGGGACAAGGACAGCCCTGCGCAGGGTGAGCCAGCCTGCCTGGGGCTGCTCAGCCACAGGAAAACCACCCGAGAAGTTTCCATGAACAAAGTCTTGCTGCTGCTCCATTACAGCTCCCGCAGCCCTTAATGACCGTGACTATGAAGAGGCCTTTTGGTTTTCCTCTGATAAGGATTTTCCCTTCCAAGCACACGGGCTTGAAGCGGAGGGGCCGAGGCAGCGCTCACGTGCACGGAGCAGCCAGAAGCCAGGGCAGACCTCGCTGCAGGGAAATCGCAACCCCCGGAAAACTGTTCCCCTAATTACAGCCTTGAAGCATGGAGCAAACCACATAAGTGATTCACACAGCGTTCCCAAGCTGCAGCCGCGTGAATTGGAGAGATTTCCAAACGCTGCCGCGACGTGCACACTATTATCAGGATGGAAATACGGAAATTTTCATCATAAGGAGGCGAGGAGGGGGAAAAAACCACCATTAAATGAACCTCTTCGTGTCAAGAAGACCTGGGAGGTGTGTCGCTGGTGGATCTGTGTAGGATACAGAGCTCTCATGGCAGGGAGCAGGCTGGCAAGGCGCTGTAGAAATTCTTGGGTTTGTTATCGCAGAGCTCGGGGCCCGGCCTCTGCTTGCGAGTGGGGTGTGAAAGGGAGCAGGCAAGTGCACTTGGGGAGGGAGAAAGGGATGGAGCTGGTGTGGAGTGGAGTTAAAAGTGGCCCATTGTTAGGGAAGTTTGCTTTCCTCACATCATCACAGCTCCCAGTGACACCGCTCTGCCTTTTGAAGTGCAACATTAGGCGTTTCCTTGTCACCCATTGGTGAGGGAGCTTTTTTACCACATTAAGTCATTGGGTAGCAAATGAATGGGGGGTTTTGACTATTCAGAACTTCACCTTATAAATATCAGGGTTGCAGGTTCCTGCAGCTTTCCTGGACCCGAATATCTGGAGATACATTGGGACGCGGCGAGGCAGCCTTGCCAGGGACCTGCGGGATCAGCGGAGGGAGCCGGGTCCCACACTGACAGCCATGAGGGGCAGCAGCTTCCTCCTCCTCTCCATCGTGGGCATCTCTGGGGCTGTTCTCAATGCAGCAGCGTGGTAGGTTTCAGGGTGTGTGGGGGGATGCTCTTGAGCCTGTGTTAAATGGCGTGGCTCATTTTCCTTTCTTTGTTTCAGGTCGGTGAATAACTTTCTGATGACAGGACCTAAGGTAATTAACGCAGGCACCATCAATAATTTAAGCGGAGCGATTTTGTTTTGCAAATGGGAAATACTGCTTTTCTAAGGAACCAGATTTCCCAGAGCATACCAGCTCCGAGTCCTGTTGAGGCAAAGGACCTGCAGCCCGTGTATGTCTGTTGTCACAAATAAATGCTAAGAGACAAGGCCCTGACGCTGCTCTCCATGCAGGCGTACCTGACGTACTCCAGCAGCGTGGCGGCGGGCGCACAGAGTGGGATGGAGGAGTGCAAGTTTCAGTTTGGATGGGAGCGTTGGAACTGCCCCGAGAGCGCCCTGCAGCTCTCCACCCACAACCGCCTGCGCAGTGGTGAGTGCCTTGAAATGAACAACCTGGTGATGAGGACGGTTTTCTGACCCCTAAAACTTATGTTTGCTTTTTTCTGTCTGCATTCATCTTCCTAAGAAACACAGCCAGTGTTTCTCCTGTGGTCCCAGGTTCATTCTGGGTATGCATCCTCTCTAAGCCAGAGCTCAGCCCTGCCTGCAGCAATGGTCTGTGCAGCATCACAGCAAGCACTGCTCTGGGCACCAAGCTGGCAATGGGGAAGAGCGGGGAAGGGAGAAACCGAGGACGTGCTCTAGGAAACTGCTTTCAAGGGAAAGTTGTGGGTATATTTGACTGTTATCTACTTCAGCCAGCCATTGTTTCACCAGAGTGAAATTCTATTTAATAGAATCGTGGAATGGCTGAGGTTGGTAGGGACCTTAAAGATCATGGGGCTCCAACCCCCTACCACAAACAGGGCTGTCAACTACTCAATCAGGCTGCCTGGGGCACGCTGGCTCTGTTAGGAAAGCCTAAAAAGAAACTAAAACAGGAGCACGGATCCAGACTGCTGTTAGTACAGATCTGACTGCTGACTGTACTATCCCACTGTTGCTAAGAACCTCTGTCCCATACAGGGATGCTTGCAGAACATTGTGCCAAGCTGCTGAGGCTCTTGATGCTGAAGCCTGAAGCTACTCCAGGCAGGAGCATTTAATTTCTGTAGCATCTTACCTTTTGCACAGACTCTTTTGTTATTCTCTTCTTGCTCCTTCAGAATGGCGATGGCTTCACAAGAGAGCTTCCTTCCCAATAAACAAGGACTGGTGTATATGTTTGTGTGACAGCTTTTCTCCCTTCTCCCTCAGCTACCAGAGAGACATCCTTTGTGCATGCCATCAGCTCCGCTGGTGTTATGTACACCCTGACCAGGAACTGCAGCATGGGGGACTTTGAGAGCTGTGGCTGTGATGACTCCAGGAACGGGCGTGTAGGTAAGATGCTGACATGCATCCTGCTGTGACCGACCAGCAGTGAGATGGGCTGCCATCACCCCAGCCCCACTGCACTGCAAGTCCTGTGGCAGAACTCAGCCCAGTGGGGCAGTTCTGTTCTTACCGTCTTGTTTGCCTTGCAGGTGGCCGAGGCTGGGTCTGGGGAGGCTGCAGCGACAACGTGGAGTTTGGGGAGAGGATTTCCAAGCTCTTTGTGGATGCTTTGGAAACAGGACATGATACCCGTGCCCTGATCAACCTGCACAACAACGAAGTTGGAAGACTCGTAAGTCAAATATTCAAAAACATAATACTAATTGTAGTAATACAAATATAATAATAATAATGTATGTCAGAAACAACATCAGACAGCCTAGTAAACTGTTCTGGTCCCCTTCTCCAGTAGCCTGTGACAATCTAGGCCTGGTAATATTTGTTGGGGGAAAAAAAACATAGCCAGAATCTGACCCTAAGCCTGAACAGGAGCTGCAGTAAGATCCATTTGCATCTCCAGCAGCTGTGTGCAGCACAGTTAACTACTAATGCCATTTATTCAGAAATGCACCAGTTTCATGCTCACATCCATAACACAAGTACCAGCCCACATTCCTGCAGTGGGTTTTTGCAAGCTGCTCAGCAGGGAAGCTGGCTGTGAGGATGAGCTCGGTACCCAGCCCATGAAGGCACAGTGGCTCAGGCCAGACCTTGTCTGTAAAAACAAGGACAGCAGCACTTAGCATACCTATCTCATAGGGTGTGTCGAGGCGTAATCTCACATAGATACCAGTGATTGGGACCTTATAAATACCTGAGGGAGATGAGTAGATAATAGCTGTGAAGTGCTCGGCCTGGAGGAGATGCACACAGGCTCTCTGTTGTTACTCCAGTGCATTTCACACGTTCTGAAGGAGGTCTGTGGGAGGTGATGGGTTCATGTGCCAATGAGCAAGATGAGTCCCAGACTGGGACGTGCCAGGAGGGTATGACCCTGCCTCTACCCTGGCCAGAGAAGGGCTGGGGGCAACAGTTTGTGCCTGCTCATTATCTCCATCTTTTAATTAGTGATGAGGACAGATGTTTGCCTAGAGCTGAGATAAAAGCATCAGTTTGTGTCTTGGGAGGACCTGAAATCCTGTGGCACAAGTCACGTTTGACCCATTCCTCGCCGCAGTAGAAGTGCCATACATTGAGATTTGAAAGGCGATGACCTGCTGCTTCCAGCTTCTGCCCCTTTTCCTCGCAGGCTGTGAAAGCCACGATGAAGCGAGCCTGCAAGTGCCACGGGGTGTCAGGCAGTTGCAGCATCCAGACATGCTGGCTCCAGCTCGCCGACTTTCGGGAGATCGGCAACTACCTGAAGATGAAATACGACCAAGCCCATAAGCTGGAGATGGACAAGAGGCGGATGAGAGCCGGCAACAGCGCTGACAGCCGCGGGGCCACTGCCGAGACCTTCCACCACGTCCACTCCACGGAGCTCGTTTTCCTGGAGGACTCCCCTGATTACTGCACAAAGAACGCCAGCCTGGGCCACCACGGCACCGAGGGCCGCGAGTGCCTACAGACCGGCAGGAACCTCTCGCAGTGGGAGCGGAGGAGCTGCCGGCGGCTCTGCACAGAGTGCGGCCTCAAAGTGGAGGAGAGGAGGACAGAGGTGGTCAGCAGCTGCAACTGCAAGTTCCACTGGTGCTGCACAGTGCGCTGCGAGCAGTGCCGGCAGCTGGTGGCCAAGCACTTCTGCTCCCGCCGCGATGCCGCTGTTGCCAACCACACCAAGCGGCGGAACAGAGGCCACAGGAGATAGGGGGAGGCCAGCAACCAACCGCCTGCCAGGCGGGACCTGTGGGTTTCTCCACCTGTAGTGGCCCTGATCATAACTGAGGGAAGGAGCCTTACCCGGGGAAGTCACTTTATATCAGACAGAGGGAAGAATTTCACTTTTTTGGTGGGTTCCACGCGTTGCACTGCCGCCAGCCAAGGTCAAGCAGTGTTAGCGTGAGTGGGACGGGCACCATGGCCAGGGTTGGTCCTGTTGGGCTTCTCCATTTCTGTGCAGGCACCACCACCCCAGCACCCCTATTTCTGCACAGGCGTTGCTTGGAAGCACTCCTGATGGGGAAACTTATGCACTTTGTGATGTGAGAGGGTTTTCTGAGTGCTGCTGTTTGTATTAGCACAGCTGCAGCTTTTTGAGGGTATCAGTAGGTTTAAGGACTGTGTTTACAGGGTTGCTTTTTACTTTTAAAATGCTGTGGTTCGGTACCAGACCCTCTACCTGAATGGATAACAGCCTCATGTGTTTGTACCAGGTGAAATTAATTCGTTTACAATTCCTTTACTTTTTAAAAAAACAACATAGCAAATAAGAATCCAGAACTCTTTATGCCTAATGCTGCTTATTAAGAAGCTGAATTGTTGCTTAGCACAATCTCTTTTCTCCATACATTTTGAAGGCATCCCTAAAGAGTTAGATGTCAGCCTGTATTTTGCAATAAACACCATAATGAAAACAAGTGGCTTTCTCCTTTCAGACTTCCCAGCAGAACTTCAGGTGTAAAACCACCCATTTCCAAAGCTCAACACTTCCCAGATTCCTCATCACAAATCCAAGAATCCACCAAGAGGCCTTTTCTTTCCCAGACCTCAATGAAACTTGGCCACAGTCATAACTCCTTACAGGGTTTGCAGTAACAGCCGTGCTGCAGCACTGGCCGGAGCCCATTTTGAAGCTCTGATGCCCCTTTAATTTGTCTGTAGCCTCACGTCCCCAGACAGCGAGAGGCAGCCCTGCTTTGATGTGGAAAGCACCAGCACTGCTGCAATATTCTCCCAGGCACGAGAGGAGCACTTTGAACTCAGGGCAGGGGGGAGAAAACCTGAGGCCAGCTGTGAATGCGCCTGCGGCTCAGCTCCCCTGTTGCTCCCCTGCTGCTCAGTGGGAGACCTGGTGGGATCCTTCCTTGGGCAGCCCCGGGGGTCTCAGCACTGGGGGGAGCAGCAGTGCACACCTTGCACTCACGCTTTGATGCTTTGTGTGCCATGATGCTCCCGGAGCAAATACAGCCTCTGCTCAAGGTGCAAAACACAAACTGGGAGCGGGGCTGACATGAGTTTATGTTTGCAACAGACAGTTTCCTGAAAGGGGGAAGGGCTACAGCAACCAACAATCAATTCTGGGGGATTCTTTGCTCTTTCCAAAGCTCACATAGCTAGCAAACAAGCCACACCACCGGAGCCAAAAAAAATCCACCAGCACTTTTTCAAGTGTTGCCACAACAGCATCTGTTTGCAAGCCACCAGAATTTAAGCTGAACTGGAAACAATACAAACAAGCAAACAAACAGGAAGGAGATGTTATTCCACCAGCACAATTACCAGGCAGATACAGAGATGGTCCTACTGCAGAGGAGGATCACAGTTAACATCTCACCCAGGTCACGTCCCCACAAACCATCCCCTGTTCTCCCCAACCTGCAGTTTGTCGAGCTGGCACCTGGACCTGCTGCACTGCATCTGAATGCTGGAGATTGCTTTTTTTCTCCCTCAAATCTATTTGCTTTTTTTTTTAATCCCATTTACATTTCTGAAATTCAGACTATCTGAGGCAGCCTGATCAGATCTTATGCAAAAACCAAAGACCACATGCAAAGTGAGGAGAGCCTGGGAGAAAGTTAAGTATCAGTCCGTGAGATCAATTTCCACTTCTTCACACCTTGCAGAGTGAACACTGAGTCTGACCAAGGACAGAAGACAACAGTGTGCCCTAGGGCCACACCTTGACACACATACTGCAGTACAGGGGGAGCAGAGCCCTCCTCTCCAGGATACAACAGCCATCATTTCTCACTACATTCCCTACAGAACAATAGAGATTCCAGGTCCCGATCTATCAGCTGCTGTCAGGGAGCTCCCCAAGCACTGGTTTTCTGTAACCACACACTGTGAGCACGAGGGCTAAGAAGCTGCAGGCTGCCGGCCAGGCTGACCTCACCATTTCAGACATGTTTCTATCAAAACAGCAAAATCTCACATACCAGTTTTCAAGATAACTGATGACACACAGTAAAGTGAAGTCTTGTCAGCTGCGACTTGCAAAGACTCAGTCTCTATCCATAACACTGCAAAGGGACTGGTGGTGTCTTTAAACCCGAACATATTTACTCCCGATTAGCTGAAATCAAATAAAATTTAGGACACTGATCCCAACCACCTGAAATCACTTCATGTTTGTGAAGAAGGGGGACCTGGTTTTAGAAATGCTTGAGGAGGATCCTGATGGCTTTACCATAAGAAACATAACAATCCCAATTCCAACGAAAAAATGAAACAATTTACAGCAGATGCTGTATGAACTCAAACCAAAGTCCCAGTACCCCAGAGGGCTGCTGCTCAGAGCCCTGCCTGCCCACATCACCAACAAGGTGACTGCCAGCAAGATGCGCATCAAGCCTATTTAATTCACAACTTGATAGTAATGACAAGAGAGGGAAATGGAGCCAGGAAGGCTGCGTGCCGACAGATTGCTCACATGGCTCTCTGGGAAGCATTTCCAGGGTGGCTGCATTTTGGCTGAGTGCTCACTCCCTGCTGTGGGATGCTCAGAAGCCCCATTGCCCCACTACAGCCCTCCTCTATTCAAACCCGCTTCACTTCAGCTGTTAAACTCTTTGCTGGGTGGATTAGCTTTAAATTATGCTGCCGATGCCCTTTCATGGATTATAATTCTGTACGAGATGTTTGCTCTGTATCCTCCCCTCGTATTAAAGTGTCAGGAGTGCATCCCCAGGCCATCCATCTTGAACGTTTCCGCATGGGCTTGGCAATTCTCTGACATGAATATTATGGCTCTCAATGCCAGTCTCCATCACTCAAGCTGACAAGTGTTAGATTCTCCTCTCTTCAGCAGGGTAAGGGACCTTTTCATATGCAGCGTAGATTCCCCGTCATGCTGCATCTGTTGCAACGAAACCAGGGATCCCAGCAATTCCCTACAGCCTTAGAAAACAACTCACAGGTCCTTTTCAACTTGCAAAACCAAGCCTTAGCATGACAAAGTTAAAGGCCCTTAATCAACCTCTGCTAATGCCTGTTCTGTAGAGGAGGATGTAAAAGCATCCAGGCGATGCTTTCAGTGAGATTTATTAATGAATGGGCTTTCAAGGAAAGATGAGGAATTTGGTTGCCAGCTTGCTGGAGCATACAGAGATTTTTATGACTTCAAACCAATTCTAACCCTAAGCAACACTTTCGTAGGTGAGGTGCTTAAAGTTAAACCCCCAGACCCCTTGGTTTTCAGAGCTGCTATGCATACACACTCCCACCTGGAACACAGGAGCTTCACTCCACCAGTGCCTTGCAGGGAGCAGAAGGAGGAAATGGCTCTCCATGCCCTGCACTGGACACTCCATATCACCAGAACAAAACTGAATCTGCTGGAGAACTGCCTCCTAATTCAGTTCAAACTACCAAATTGACATTACTCCAGATCTTTGGCTAAACCAGGGCCCAGTAATTTTTTCTCTCTATTGAGCAGAAGTACTTTCTTAGTAATTTCACCCACCTTCTCATTGCACAGCCCTGTGCAGTGGCTCGCAGCCAGCACAACCTAACAGAAACTTGTTAACACCTTTTCAGCTCGGTCTTATTAAAGTCAAGGTAATTAAGAGCTTTGCTATTTACAAAACAAATCCTCTCTGTAACACCTGAGAAAAAGCATTACAGGTGTTTCCCAAACACTTCTCAGCTGGCGAGAACACCTACGGTACCCATCTGCAGGGTGGTGCTGCAGCTGCCCTCCCTGTTGGAGGGGATGAGCCCAGGTTTGGGGAGCATTTGTGCCACACTCCTGTACAAAGGCACAGCGAGTCTGCAGGGCAGGGTTACAACTCAGGGAGAGAAGACACCGACAGTAAGGCAGGGTGGAAATTTGCTGCCTGCCTGCTGGTCCTTCCTCACTTCTGCTGCAGGCATGTAGCAGTGCATGAGAACCTCTTGTGCGTGAGGCAGGTTGTTCTCTCCAGATGTCCCCACAGGTGGCTGGAAGCAGCAGGTGACCTACCCCAGGTGTGCACCTCTGCAGTGAGCCACAAGCTCACTCCCACCCCGCTGTTTCCCTTTTCTAGGTCCCTGTTTTCTCCCAGGATACATCCCGTGTCCCCCACTTCAGCAAAAAGTGAAGTAAATCCCCTCTTTTCAAACAAGCCTGGAGGCAAAGAGCCCTGTAATGGGAGATTATGGAAGAGATGCCGTCAAATAAATGCTACTTGCTATGTAGTCTCAGAATTAATTCCTTCCTCCTCTTTTCCCCCAAACTCACAGTGCTTTCCTGGTGGCCTCTGGCTTATGAACAAGAAAGAGGACGGAGCAAAAAATCTTACTTGGATGCAGTGTTTCTGCTGGGACAGCTTCACATGGGAGCATTCCTGGCCCAAGAGGACCTCAACCAAAGACTTCTTAGGATTTAGAAAAGATCCAGTCTGAAGTCTGTACCATGTTCAGGCCCCAGTTCAGCTTTTCCAGAGGCTCTGAAAGGCAGCGTGGAGAGCATTGGTGGGAACCCCAAACACAGTGGAGAGCAGTGGTGGCAGCAGCTGGGGATGCTCACCAGATGCAGGTGAGAGAAGAGAAGAGCAGCAGTTGTGTGGGCCAGAGTGGGACAGAAAACAAAAGACAAGAAATCCAAGTCTGTTGTGGAAGGGGAATGTAGAGGTTTACAGGGAGATAGAAATAAGGGGAAAGAGAGAAGGAAATATTAGATAGTATTTTATCTTTCCTTTTTTTTTCTCATCTTTTTTCACTACCCTA